ATATATATATATATATTCATTTAAATTTCAAAAGGGCACATTCTGCCAGCCAGCCTCATGTCTGTAGGCATACAGCCTGAACTCAGGCCATGGACCTACAGTCCGAAGCTGCTCTCCCTCCATCCCATCACCTCTGCTGCCATGTCTGCAGTTACAGTTGCAGCTTTTCTAGCAGGTATCTCACATTCCACTCGTGCTCTTCCTTCTTGATGGTCTGGGATTGTCTGTTCCTGAAATTAAAGATAACCACTCTTTCTTTTTAGTTACACTTTTACAATTACAGTTCTGACCATCATCACAATTGATCCTGCTAATAATTGCTCACAGTTAAATCATAAAATCTTATCAGCATTATCCCCACCCCGCTTCACTAGACCCAATTGGAAAAGAGGAAAACTAGTAAGTGGGGATTCTCCCTTGTTCCCTTGTCCTATATATGGTTCACCAGGCCTAAGACAGGCTGTTTCTAATTATTACCAATTTGTGGGATTTTTTTTTCTGTTTTAGGAATATTAAACCTCTACTCACTATATGCTATAGATCTTTCCCTCATGTATGCACGTACATGTACCTATACACATGTTTTCCATGTTTGGATTTTTTTTTTTTTTTTTTTTAATGTAGTCCATGTATTTTAATGTATTTCAGAGGTTTTTTAGTTTTGTTTTGTTTTTTAATAATCATGCTTAGATAGTATTTTATCCCTGATTCTTAGATTGAATGATACCTCTATGTTTGCATTCTCATATGACAATTCATTATTTCAAATGTTTAAATATTTAAGTTAATAATTTATTGTGAATTTATTTTGTAATACGATGTAAGGTAGGATTCTAATTTTTTCTACCAAATGGATAACTTGTTTTCATTTATTAGATTACCTAATTTTTTTCTCACTTCATGTGACTCGTTATGAGCAAAACATGAGATAGGAGCCTGTCTCGATCCTATGTAGTCCCACAATACTGTTCGTCTTAGCTTGTCCTTTTTTAAAAGCTATAAAAGCGTCGTCCCCCCCGCCCCCCTTTAAGGCAGTTATCTTCACAGCTTTATGCCAGTAGAGTGACATTTTGTGTGCTGCTGTTGATGGCAGAGGGAAGAATGTACTCTTTGGGGTCAGAAGTGCACTTTTGCCTCTTACTGTACCCATATCATTTCCTCTTGAACGTGAATCTGTTATTATCACTAGTTTTAAATAAACCATTTAGCTTTTTAACACTAATGTTTTCATATATATCGTTTGTTTTTATAGCTTTTTTATTAAACTGCCCAATTGTTTGTTCTGATTTCTAATCTATTATTTCTGTTACCCTAATACTTGTAAACCATCTGCGTTAATGTTTTCATGATGATAGCTGTGGAAATACAAAGGAGTCTGAATCAACTTGGAACACCTCAAGACTCACCTGAACTGAGGCAACAGCTGTAAGTATTTAATTTAAAAAGAAAGAAAGAAAGAAAAACCTGTTGCTGCTGAATTGTGTTGTTTGGGCAGTGTGTAGTATATATATTAAGGAGCTCTGGTAGCGTAGTGGTTAGGAATCAGGGCTGCAAACCTAAAGGTCAGCAGTTTGAAACTACCAGCTGTTCCACAGGAGAAAGATGAGGCTTTCTGCTCCCATAAAGATTTATAGCCTCAGAAACCCTGTATAAGGTCGCTATGAGTCGGAACCTACTCCATGGGACATAACAACAACAACAAGTCTGTATATTGGGGTCCTGGTGTGACCCTGCATAGGATAAGCACTTGACCTCAAAGTCAGTTTCAGCTTCAAGGTCAGTAGTTCAAACTCATCAGCTGCTCCTTGGAAACCCTGCATAGATAGGGTCTCTGTGAATTCCGTCCGTGATCTGAATTGGATTTCCGAGGATGTAAATTATTTCAGGAGCAGAAAGTCTCATCTTTCTCCTAAGAAGCAGTTGGTGGACTCGAACAGTCAACAGTGTGGTTCAAAGTTCAGTGCTTACCCTACAAAGCCACCTTGCTCCTGTCCAGAGTGGTTGTGGTGGTAGTGGTTATATGCCATGGACTTAGTTCAGCCTCATAATGACCCTGAGTAGGGTTTCTGAGGCTGTAAATCTTTACAGGAGCAGAAAAACCTCATTTAGTTTCGAACTTCTGACCTTGTAGCAGACTGACTCATAACCACTATGCTACGAGACGGCTCCTTCCTGCCCAGAGTAGATAGGTCTTTTCTTTATTTTAAAGGTTTGACTATTCTAAGTAGAATGTCTTAGTTGACGTTCTTAAAGTTTTTCACAGGTTATTTCAATTTCTGACCGCCTTTAGAAAATTGCACTCTTAGCTTTTATGTGATTTCATGACTATCACCAAAGTCTTATTTTATTTAAATCCAATACTTATCCAATAGGGACAGTCCCTGACAAAAGCTTGTCTCTATATCCTCAAATTTTAGAATTCATTGGCCTCTGTTAAAAGTGTGAGAATAAAATTATCTAATACACAGAAGCAATTCATTAACATGCCCTTAGAAGAACAGTAGTAATACTTTGTATATGGTGCGTTATATATTTTATTTACTATTTTTACATATATTTTTATCTGTACATTACACACTTGGAGTGAGAGAGAACCCAAATGAGCTCTTTTTGTTTTGCTCACAAGGAAAATGTGTCTCTTGTGGGTTTGATCATTTTGCCCATCACATTCGTATCTGAATCTTTAGTATTAATTCAGTGATTTTACTGCTATAAATTTTATGTAATGCAGCAAGTGATATTTCCTGATAACATTAGCTTTAGAAGGAAAATTGCTAAGAGGAGGAGATTAAATGTATGATAACAGGAGTTCATATATATATTATGAACTATAATTTGCAGTTATTTCTGTTGTACTTTTCTTACAGTTGATAGAGTGGTTAAAATGTCCCAGATCTAAAATTATAAACCATCATTTATTGAAGTCAAATGGAATGGAAGGCATAGCATGTAAATATTTATAGTCATTTGATAGAATTTATAGTGGGCATTCTGAATATATTGGTGTGATTAGTAAGGTCTTTTCAAAAGAGTTTTTATAGCTTTTCTCAAAGATTCAAAACAGCATCTGAAAATAGGATATTTGATAAATTCTGACTAAAATTACAGTTCTTCCTTATAACTCAAATACAGATAATCTGTACTTAAACATAGGGAGCACTGTGGCTCTGTAGAATAAGCACTGGACTACTAATCACAAGATCAGTAGTTCGAGTCTACCAATCAATCGCTGTGTGGGAGAAAGATGAGGTTTCTGCTCTCAGAAAGACTGACAGCCTCACAAACCCAATATGGGGTTGCTGGGGGTCAGAACTGACTTGATGGCACTTACTCAATACTTATAAAACATATTCTTAAATAGAATTGCATTATTTTAAAGGATTCTAACTGTGATCAATATATGCTTAAGGTGAGAGAATTTATACCTTTTTATGTACTTTTAAGGAAATCCTGGTGATGCCATGGTTAAACATTTGGCTGATTTCTGGAAGATCGGCAGTTGGAACCCACTAGCCGTTCTGTAGAGGACAGATGTGGCAGTCCATTTCTGTAAAGCTTAGGAAACCGTCTGGGCTGTTCTATCCTTTCCTGTAGGGGCCTCTATGAGTCAGAATCAACTCCACAGCAATAGATTATGAGTGTCTACAAGAATATACATATATACGAGAGGGTTTCCCAAAGTTTGTAAAAAATTAAAGTAAAATGAAAAGATATGGAATTTTTCCATGAACTTTTTAGAGCCCCCTCATATATGTGAAATGAATTCAGAATATATATGAAGGGTATTGATGTTATCTATAAAGTATCGCATGAGTACAAGCTTTTTCTTTTCGGTCAAATTCTTCAATTAGAAATCTTTTTGCTTTATAAGTTAGTGTTCTGTTCACATTAAAGAGAAATTGTGTTATTTTTTTTTCATAGCAAACTTAAAATAGTAGCATATTTGCCCTGATTATTTATTACTGCCATCTATTTGGAGCTCTGGTAGCGTAGTGTTTACCAGTCGGGCTACTAACCTCAAGGTCAGCAGTTTGAAATTACCAGCTGTTCCGCAGGAGAAAGATGAGGCTTTCTTTTCCCGTAAAGATTTACAGCCTCGGAAACCCTATACAGGGTCGCTGTGAGTCGGAACCGACTCCACGGCACACTGCCACTACCACCATGTGGAAAGGCCAGATGTACCCTAAGGCTTGAGAACTAGGCAACAAATTCTCTGTACTTGCTCAACTGGTGAATCCCAGGTATAAGATGCAGATAAAAAGTTACCCCACCCTAGAAAGTTTACAAGTAAAGCATCAACAATCCCACAATTTCACAGTTAAATTCCCTTCTAACTTGATTGAATGACTGCTGATATTTCTTCTTTGAACTTGGCTACTCTGTGAGTAAAGACCCCTCCGTGTAATACGGTCCAATATTTATAAAATAACCCCGACTGCCATCGAGTTGATTCTGACCCATAATGCCCCGCTGTAGGACAGCGTAGACAGGGGTTCCAAGACTGCCATTGTTTACAGGCACAGACAGCCTCATCTTTCTCCCTGTTGACGAGTGGCTCGTAGGTTTGAACCCCCAACTTTGTGGTCTGTGGCTAGCTCTTTGCCCATGGCACCACCAGGGCTCTTTGCATTAAAGAATTGTTGTTAAGTGCCGTCAAGTTGCTTCCGACTTATAGTGACCCAGTGTAGAACCTGAAAAATTTGTTTCCATAGAGAAATTTTAGAACTAGTCAAAAAAGTGATTATTTATATAATTCGTCATCAGAGTTGACTAAAGTGGCATAGTTGTAGTGAAATATTTTGTTCTTTGGCTGTAATGTGTGTTTTCTCTTTAGGCAACAGAAGCAGCAGTACACTAACCAGCTTGCCAAAGAAACAGATAAGTACATTAAAGAGTTTGGATCTCTGCCCACCACCCCCAGTGAACAGGTATCAATGCTTTAAGACAACTTGTTGATGTATTGAATGTGAAGGAAACCAAATGTAGGATCTTTGGATGGTTAGTAAGGAAATTAGGAGGGAAAAAAATTCTACCTGAAATTAGTTTATAGAGCACAAAAGTATATTCAGTTGCTCTGACCCATAATTAAGTGCTTGGAAAATACTTGCTGAGTAATTAGTTGTTCCCCAGCCTCTGGGTCCAAATGTATGCAGCATGCATACTCACTTGGTGTGTGTCGTGGTGGTGGTGGTGGTGTTAGTGGTGGTAGTGTGTGGTAGAGTCAGTTCTGACTCAACGAGACCCTGCATAGGGTTTCCGAGGCTGTAAATCTTTATGGAAGCAGAAGGTCTCCTCCTTCTCCACGACACCACTGGTAGTTTCGAACTGCTGACCATGAGATTAGCAGTCCAACTCATAAACACTAGGTGCACATATTTATTTCCTAGCTTACATACAGGGGTACTCTACTATTACTCAGATAAGAATATATAGCTTTATTTGCCCTAAGAAGAATGACTTTAAAATAAACATCGAAACGACTGCTTTTTTTGGGGGGGGAGAATTTAAGTGAGAACTCTAGCATTATGGTCTTTTTGCCTCAGGTAAACATGTACAGAATTTGACCATGTTTGTCAAACTGTTGTTGAGAGTTAATCAGTAAAGCCCTATAATTGGAGAGTGAGTGAAAATATTGGTATTAAATAGAGAGCTATTGTTGTTGGAGTCCTGGTGTGGTGCTCTGGGTCAGCATTGGACTGCTAACCACAAAGTTGGTTGTTCAAACCCACCGGGTGCTCCTTTATAGTGTTATTAAAAGTCAGAAGTGATTCAATAGCATTAATTGCCTTTGAGTTGCTTGCAGTTCTTGGGGACCCTTGCTAGTATTAAAACAACTTTTGTAAATCTCATAGAACTTCACAACTTGATTCTAGTAGGGTTGTTTTTTGTTTTTTTTGTTTTCCCTTCCCCTTTCCTATAGCGTCAAAGGAAGATACAAAAGGATCGCTTAGTGGCTGAATTCACAACATCACTGACCAATTTTCAAACAGTCCAGAGGCAAGCTGCTGAGAAAGAGAAAGAGTTTGTTGCCCGAGTGAGGGCCAATTCCAGAGTGTCTGTAAGTATTAAAAATACATTGTAAAGTTGAATTTGATACACACTAAGGTTAAGCACTGGATTACTTGGGTGGTTCAAACCCATCAGCTGCTCCTCAGAAACCTGATGTAGGGTCACTATGAGTTAGAACTGAGTCAACTGCATTTAACAACAGCAAACGTACTTGCAGTGAGTTTACATTGGGGAGACAGAAAAGATTACATTGGCATGTTATTTTAGGTCATCAAGATTTGTGAAAATTTAATATTTATTTTCAGGTTTTTCTGTTCAGTTTTTTAATGGTTATATACGATTGTTATTTTTCCCATGCAGAATACAGAAAAATAAAGAAGCATACATTAAAAAAAAAATTGGGATCAAATTGAGTAGTATTGCCACATTAACTTGATACATGAGGCTATCAAACTGTTTAAACATTAGAGTAGTAACACTATATGGTTATATTAAACTGATGGAAATGAGCAGAGTGGAATTATTATATTAATAATTAAAATTGAATATGAGTTTAGAAATCATGCATGAAAATATTAGAGTGGGATTTTGAGTTACTGTAACTTTAAATTCTCTTAGAAACTATCAGAAGTTATTTCTTAATGCAGAAGATCCAAAAATACATTGTTCTTACCAGATAATATGTATTATTTAGCCCATGAAAATAGGTAATACATTTCTTCCTTGAAATATCAGGAGCTAGTTTTATTATTACTTGAAGCAATGGACCTGAAAAATTAGAACTAGAACTTCTTTTTCTTCTTCCACTCCCTTGCTTTCTCTTTCCTCTTGCCTTACATACAACAAGGCTTCAAAAAGTTCGTGAAAAAATTCCATTATCTTTTCATTTCATTTTCCGCAAACTTCTTGAAGCCCTCTTGAATGTGTGTCCCACATATATATCTACACACATTCATACATCCATATGCATCAATCAATTCACATTATTATAAGGGAAAATGTGAGAATATTAAACATTATTATTGCTTTTCTTTCCCGCTTCTAAATCCATCTTATGATTTCAGAGTGGTTTTCCTGAAGACAGTTCAAAGGATAAGAATTTTGTATCTTGGGAAAGGTAAGAAATGTAAAACATATAAATCAAAAGATAATTTTCACAAATGTATTGATATGTTATAAGTTCCTGGTATAGAATTAAAGCTGTTAACACATTATAATGCAAATAGCCAAAGTTATTTGTAAATTGAAAACAGATGATAAATTAGGGTGCTTATGAAAAAATATAAAATAATTATAAATTATTATTGCTTTGTTACAAAAATAAGTTCCAAATAAATATTTATCTGCTTAATTATTATTTAAAATAGATTATTTCCCCATACTAAATTTAATTCAACCAAGTAGAAATACCCAGTTGCCAAAGGTTGCCTCCTACAGATGAACCTGCCAACTGTTCCGCGGGAGAAAGATGAAGCTTTCTGCTCCTGTAAAGATTTATAGCCTCGGAAACCCTGTACAGGGTCACTGTGAGTTGGAACTGACTCCAAAGCACATAACAACAACAACAACAGATGAATAATAACTCTAAATCCTCTATATTAAATAAAATACTACCAGAGGAGTGAAAAATGAATCATACTTAGGAGTATGCATATTTTTATACATATTTTAAATGAGCAGTTCCCTGATTTTTGAAAGTGAAGTAGTTTCTTACTATTTCTAAAATAGGAAATAAGTCCCATTATTTCTAATGCCGTTCTTTCATTTTTCCCTATTCTGTCCTTCATATTAGCCAACCACAAGTTCAAGTACAGGTGCAAGATGAAGAAATTACAGAGGATGACCTCCGCCTTATTCATGAGAGAGAGTCTTCTATTAGACAACTTGAAGTAAGCTTTTAACTTGTAGAGTTGGCCTGATGTTATTATTCGTGAGTTTTACCTCAAGATGCTGTTTTGCAGACGGGAAAATTAAGACGCAGGGGGTTGTGTAATTTGCACCTCCATCCTACATAGAGCATTTCAGCTTCTCTCTTTAATAAGTCAAGAAAATAGCTAAAAAAATGATATATTGAAAAGTAAATTTATGACTTCTTTATCCATCATTCCATTGCATTTTCCAATGTATCAGACTTTAAATTTATACTTTATGCTTTATTCTTTTGAAAGGTCAAATCGGTGTGTAAATTATTACTAGAGTTTAGTTATAAGAATATGTTATATTCTTGTTAAGTATGTACTCTATAAACAAAAAACTACCAGGTTACATAAAATAAAGCCAGTAACCCATGGCCCTGTCTCTGTCACAGATCCTGTGTTTCCTCATCTGATATATTTCATGTCACAAATGTATTTTAGAGGACTATCTGTTCAAGGTCAATTTAGGATTGATTACAGTAAACGATTTTTCTATGGCCCCAAAATTTATGTATTAAATCTAGCTAGATGCATACTAATGTATGTATGAGTGGTTGTTCAGGGTTTTTTTCTTTTGTAAAGCAGGATCTGAATTTCTGATTAAAAAACTCTGCTCCCTTTTCTCTTAGGCTGACATTATGGATATTAATGAAATATTTAAAGATTTGGGAATGATGATTCATGAACAAGGAGATGTGATAGGTAAGCTTTACTGATTGATTTTGTGAGTTGGGAACAGGCTACATGCAGTTGGTCAGTCAGCCAGACCAAGCATTGCTTTTCTCTGTTACAGTCCCTACCTGGAATCGGAAGCAGTCTCTACAGACAGTGCATCACCCTTGACATTTCTAAAACAGACCTCATTTTGCTTTTGCAGATTGAAATGACCAGCTCCTTTTTTTTTTTTTTTAAGAAGCATAAAATTTAATCAGGCTCTACTGCTGCTTGAGCCATCGAAGGAACTCTGTGATGTCATTCTAGCTTATTTCCAGTGCCTCTGGTTTTTGTCACCTGTCAATTTAAATGCCATCACTTTCCAGAGGACTTTTGGGAAGCCTGTAATATTTGCAGTTGTGTATGCTATCTTGATTTTTAGGTCAGAGGAAGTGGAATTTGTGTAATGATTCGTATAGCTTATCTGTGGTTCAAAACCACCAGCCGTTTCTTGGAAACCCTATACAGGACCACATGAGTCAAAACAGACACGGCAGCACTTAACAACAACAACATTGGTAGATTTAGGGTATTATTTATATGCTACTGCTGCTTGTCTCGTCAGTTTGTCATACTCTGGTGACCTGCATCTTGCTGTGATGCTGGAAACTGTGCCATTGGTATTTTAAATTCCAGAAGGTCACCTATGGTGGAAGGTTTCTGCTCAGCTTCCATACTAAGACACACTAGGAAGGAGAGGCTGATAACTTCTGAAGGTTTAGTTAGTTATGAAGAGCAGTGGGACACTGTCAGTACCAGAATAATGGATACTGACACATTATGAGGAGCTCTAGACTATTGTCAAGTGTAGTGCCAGAAGGATATCATGTTTGGTAGGGTGGAGGGTCCCAGAAAAAGAGGAAGACCCCCAGCAAGATGGATTGACAAAAGTGGCAGCATCAATGGGCTCAAGCGTGGCAACAATAGGTTGGCCCAGGATTGGGCAGTGTTTGGTTCTGCTGTGCATAAGCTCATTATGAGTTGGTACTGACTTGATGGCATCTAACAACAACAATTAATGACTTCTTCATTGTAAATACCTTTTTAACAATATGAAAAATGAGACTACATATAGGCCTCACCAGATGGAATATTCAGAAGTCAAATGACTGTATCTGTGGGAAAAAACAGTGGAAAACCATATCATTGACCCAAACAATGGTGGTGGTGGTGGTGTGCCATGGAGTCGCTTCTGACTCATAACAACACTGTACAGAGTTTCCGAGGCTATAAATCTTTATGGGAGCAGAAAGCCTCATCTTTCTCCCACGGAGCGGCTGGTAATTTCGAACTGCTGACCTTGAGGTTAGGAATGCCAAGGGTAAATTGTGGAAGACCATCAATTGTTCATATGCAAGTTTCGGCTTAAGCTGAAAAAAATTAAAGCAAGTCCACTAGAGCCCAAAAGATGACTTGAACATATCCCACTTAAAATTAGAGATCATTTCAAGAACACATTTGCTGCATTAAGAACTAATAACCAAAGACCAGAGGAGTTGTAGTCTAACATAAGATCATACCAGAAGAAAGCAGAAGGCTGCTAAGAGTTCAAGAAAGACAGAAAAGACCAAAATGAATTTCAGAAGATACTCTGAGACTTGCTCTCCAGTATTGAGATGCTAAAGCAAATGGAAGAAATGAGGAAGTGAAAGAGCTGAACAGAAAGTGTCAAAGGGCAACTTAAGAAGACAAAGTCAAATATAATGCAATGTACAGAGGAGTTAAAAAACAAAAGGAGAGAGCATGCTCAGCATTTCTCAAGCTGAAAGAACTGAGGAAGAAAATTCAAATTCATGCTTCGACTTGGAATATTGAAAGGCTCCATGGATAAAATATTGAATGATGCAGAAAGCATCAAAAGATAATGGAAGGTGTATACAGAGTCACTGTACTAAGAAGAAATGGCCATTGTTCAGCCATTTCCAGAGGTAGCATATCATCTATGAGCCAATGATACTGAAGGAAGAAGTAAAAGATACACTGAAGGCATTGGCAAAGAACAAAGTTCCGAGGAACTCATCAAACACCAGATGAAATATTTCAGCACACGGAGGCAGCACTAAAGGTACTCACTTATCTATTCCAGGAAATTTGAAAGACAGCTTACCTGGCCAACTGTTTAGAAGAGATCAATAATTGTGCCCATCCCAGAGAGAAGCGATCCACCAGAATGCGTAAATCATCGTACAGTATCATTAATATCATATGTAAGTTAAATTTGGCTAAAGATAATTCAAAAACAGTTACACCAGTACATTGACAGGAAACTGCTAGAGGTTCAAGCTAGATTCCGAAGAGGACTGGGAATGAGGCATATCATTGCTGATAACAGATGTATCCTGGATGAGAACAGAGAATACCAAAAAGATGTTTACCTTTGCTTTATTGACTATGCAAAGGCTTTCAACTGTATGTATGTTATGTATGTTACATGTTAAGTATAACATTGCAAAGAATGGGTATTCCAGAGCACTTAATTGAGCTCATGAGGAACCTGTATGGACACTGAGAAACAGTCATTCAAACACAACAAGGAAACACTGAATGTTTTAAAATAAGGAAAGGTGTATGCCAGGGTTGCATTCTTTCACCACACTTATTCACTGTATACACTGAACATATAATCCCAGAAACTGGATTATATGAAGGAGAATGTGGCATTAGGAAGACTCATTAACAATCTGCATTATGAAAATGGTACAACCTTGCTTCCTGAAAGCAAAAAGGATTTATAATACTGATGAAGATCAAAGACCACAGCCCTCAGCATGTGTTACACCTCAATGTAATGAAAACAAAAATCCTCACCACTGGACCAATAAATAACATTATGATAAATGTAGAAACTATTAAAGTTGTCAATGATTTCAGTTTGCTTTGATCTACTACCAACACTCATGGAAGTAGCAGTCAAGAGATCAAGCAACATATTGTATTATATGTATCTCCTGCACATCTTTTTAAAGTGTTCAGAAAGAAAGATGTCAATTTGAGAATTGAGGTGTACTTGACCCAAGCCACAGTATTTTCAGTAACCTCATAAACATGTGAAAGTTGTATAGTAAATAAGGAAGACCATAGAATAATTGCTGCATTTGAGTTATGGTGTTGGAGAAGAATACTAAAAGTACAGTGGACTGCCGGAAGAACAAATAAATCTGTGTTGGGAGAAGTACAGCCAGAATGCTCCTTAGATACCTAGATGGCAAGACTTCATGTCTTATACTTCAGACATATTATCAAGAGGGACCAGTCCCTGGAGAGGACATCAAGCTTGGTACAGTTGAGTGTCAACATGAAAAAGGAAGACCCTTAACATGATGGATTGACACAGTGGCAACAGCAGCAGTGGGCTCAGGCGTAACAGCAGTTGTGAGGATGGCTCGTGACCAGGCACAGTTTCCTTCTGTTGCTCTTCATGTTGCTATGACACACCTAGCAACAACACTTTAATGTTAAGAATTCTTTTAAAACTTATTTAAAAGCAAAACAATAAAAGCAATGACTAAGACTCCCTCTAAATTTTAAATGTAATGACTCTTCTGTTATGTAATTGTAAGTATTGATGAAGATCTTAATTACTTATACAATATTAGAGATATGTATGGATGTATTAAATCCCATGCCCATTGAGTCCATTCCATTCCTACTCATAGTGAGTGGGTCAGTCAGAGTAAAATTGCTCCATAGGCTTTCCAAGTCTGTACGTTTTTACTGGGGCAGAATGCCTCATCTTTTTCTCACAGAACGGCTGGTGAACTCAAACGGCTGACCTTTTGGTTAGCAGCCCAACCCTTAACCCATTGTGGTAGCAGGACATATTTAGAAATGCATATATTTTGAGTTCAGTTCAGTTGAAATATTGAACTTTAATATAACTACTACGTGTTCACTCTTACCCATTTCTCTAGCCCCTATATTGTAGTTAGGTACCATCAAGTTAGTTCCAACTTACAGTGACCCTAGTCACAACAGACCAAAATACTGCCTGGTTGTTCACCATCTTCAAAAGTATTGTTATATTTGAACTCTTTACTGTTGTAACTCATATCTTTGGGGGTCTTCCTCTGTTTTTCTTGAGCCTCCACTCTACAAATTATGACCCTCTCAAGGGATTGATTGATCAATCCTGGTAAAGTGTTCAGAGTATGAAAGATGAAGTCTTACCAGTCTGGCTTCTAAGGAGCATCCTGGCTGTACTTCTTCCAACACAGATCTGTTTGTTCTTTTGGCAGTCCATGGTAGTTCTCATATTCTTCTTCAACATTACATACATTGATTCTTCTAATGTCTTCCTTATTCACTGGCTAGCTTTCGCTTGCGTTTAAGGCAATTGATGCCCTGGTAGTCCACAGAATAAAGTGTTATTCATTAATGTTAAAAACCCATTGATTCTGTCAACAAGCATTTACTGAGCCTGGTTGGTGCTGTAGGAAAAGCACTGGACTGCAAGGTCCGTTTGAACTGCGAGGCTGGCAGCTGAAACTCACTTGCTGCTCCTTGGTGACCCCATACACAATTACTGTGAGTTAGAACCAACTCGATGGCACTTAACAATGATAATTGAAACTGGAAATCATCTAGGTCCAGGGGAAACACCTCGGCTGGAGTAAAATATGGGGGTCATCATAAGGAGCCCTGGTAGCAGATTAGTTAAGTGTTCAGCTGCTAACCAGCAATGGCTCCATGGGAGAAAGTCTTCACAGTCCACTCCCATAAAGATTACAATTGAGGAAACTGGGGAGCAATTCTACATGATGTTGCTATGAGAACAAACGGACTTGTTGGCACTTACTGGTAACAACAACATCTGTCCACAGATGTCATTTAAAGCCTTAAGCTTGGATGAAATCACATAAAATATAAATACAGATAACAGAATACACATTTTGAGGACTTAACCCTTAGTCTACCAAACATTGGGAGCCAGATCAACAAACTACATCCACTTGTGCATAAGGGGTCTTCCAAATGTGTGAAAAAATGAAATGAAAAATTTTGGACTTTTTTGATGAACTTTTTGAAGCCCTCCTTGTATGTGCTCCTATTATCTCTGCCTGCTTTTGAACTACAAAGGTATAGTTGAATAGTTGTGGTGGAGATCTTATGGCCTGCACAGTTTAAAATATTTATTCTCTGGACCTTTGCATAAAAAGTTTGATGAGCCCTGATTTAGGGCTCAGAGCGCTGATGAAGAACCAACAACAAACAAGATTTAAGCAAGAATACCAGCGATGGAGAGGAAGAGCAAATGAATAGCCCTGGGAATGAAGTGACAAAAATGCTTCAGCATCTTGCTTGGGCCACTTGAGGAATGGTGTAGAGGAGAAGGATAACATAAACAGAAAAGAAGAATTCAACTTTGTGATGTGTGAATATTAATCGTTGACGGTTGGGTATCTCTAATCTTTGTTTGAATGAAATGTGATGTTTACGCAGCTCTATTACTGAAGCATCAGAACATGTCTAACAGATAGTTGTCTGTTTTATTCTGAAGACAGCATAGAAGCCAATGTAGAAAACGCAGAGGTACACGTTCAGCAAGCAAACCAGCAGCTGTCCAGGGCAGCAGATTATCAGGTAATGTGAATGTGATGTAATCAGTTTTCTAACTTTGTGTGTTTATGTAATTTTTGTCAAGTTTAAGTGGCTGCGAATATTAAACAAACATTTTTAAATCCTAGGGAAGAGGGATCAGGAATACGCCAGTCAGTTTTGAATTGGCTTTAGCCTTTAGAGTGTTAGGTTTGATCTAGTAGTGGGATCTCAGGGATATAAAGTTTAGCGTTCAGAGTCTTACAAAAGCAGGAGAGGATTCTAGCTTTTGTTGATGGTTAATGATCTCGGATGTTATCATGACTTGCCAATCCAGAAATCTCTTTGCTAGCTTTCCCCCCACATTTCTCTAGTTCCCCTTACCTTTACCTCCTTTATGTCAGTTGCATTCCAGCCTGTGGAGGCAGGATCTTTGTCCTCGAAGAATCTCTTCAGGTTTATGGAAATTGTATTAGCTTCGAATGTCACCGATCATTCAATATTGTCAGCATTCATCAGACCCTTAGCCGGGAATGAATTTTATTTCTTAAATGGGTCAGCTTAATATATAGAATCCATGTGTATCTATGAAATATAAATTATGTATCAAACACTACACAGATAGTAGGCCATGAGTTATTAAATATAAAACAATATGTTCACCTTGGTCGTTCAACAAGGATAAAAGATAGGCTCTTTGGGAATCCCAAAATATCACAAAGCATTTTATTCCCCTTTAAAACTCCTGGTTTTAAATTTGTTTTTCATAAATAATGTTTTCTCAGACCTTCTTAGACAGTATCTATGATACGATCAGTTGCTTAGATATTTTCTATTGCTTTTTGCTTTTCTTGATAACCTTAGAAGTTGCCTCTCATTGCCAGGCCATTGTTTTCCCCTGCATATGCAGTGATGTGTAGGGAAAGATAACAGCTGTATAGTGATTGCTAAGTTATAACAAGTTGTAGTCACTAAGTAACTCCTGTTTACCAGCTTTGGACATGTAATTCAGATAACACTATGCCATGGATTTGAGGTGCCACTTGTGAGTCGTTGAAAACACAAACACATACACACTAAGAGTAAGCTGTAAATGCCTAGAGTTACTGATTTGTTAGGGAAAAAATTGGCCAAACTTTGTGTTAAATAAACACAAATAAATAAATAAATAGGATTCCTCAGTGACTAGACTTACATGTAATTTTGTTTTGACTTTCGGTTGGGGGAACATGTGCCCCCATTTGACTTTGACTTTTCTTTAATGAAACAGCAAGCTGGGGGAAGGAACACATCTTCCCAGGCACCCCCGGACCTGCTCCTTCCCATACCTAATTCACAAAGGCCTTGAAGAGGCCAGGAGTTACTTGGAAGTGTTGATATTAAGCTTATGAATTGGTAAAATATCCACTTCTAAATTGTTTAGATGAGTCATGAGCATTGAAGACATTGATGAATTCTTATCACTATAGCACTCAAGGATAAGCACTGGACTACCAAGCGCAAGGTTGGTGGTTCAAATCCATTAGTTGCTTCTGGGCAACCTGATACAGGGTCACTGTGAGTTGGAACCAACTCGATGGTACACAACAACAACATAACACCACACAAATACTTCACACTACCCTTCACTAGAAAGACTGCCCTAGGCAACCAGTATACCATAACAACCTGTGGTTGCTCATAAAGATATATCACTTATGACTCTGTGATAATCAAGCAGATTCTAGGAAAATAATTTTATGTATAATACTGAAACATATGAGAAATTGTATTTAGTACATGAGAGGTTTTACTGAAGAATATAGATGGCTAGGTGAAATCCTGAAGGAAATTGTAGTTTTCACTGTCATTTAATTCTGAAGCATATCTTCTTTATTATAAATTTTATGATACTACTAGTTGACACAAAGTGAATTTACCAATTTTCAGCCTTGTAAGAAAAATGATTCTTGCCCGTTGCTGTGGGCTACATAAGTCATTAAAGAAATATGGAAGTCTATAGCTGGACCAGGATTGAAGAATGAAGCAACATTCTTAATTTTATACTTCAATGGGCAGCATATTTTAGCTATCTTTTTTAAGTTGTATGTTAAGATTTTGAATTCATTTCTATTAATATTAAATCATGGGAATGATTTTAAAAAGTAATAAACTTATTTTAAATTGTGCCACATTTACACTTCCTGACATATTCAGGGAACTCAATTTTTTATTAAATGTTTTTATTTTGGATTGAGTGAAAGTTTACAGGGCACATCATCAGCTTCGCATTCAACCATTCATATAGCTTGTTTCATTACATTGATTATTATCCCCTCCATATATCATCAGTTAACAGTGTTTCTCTCTATCCTCTTTAGCTTTTTTTTTTGGATGGGGGGGACTTGCCTTTTTGGAATTTACAGTCTCGGCTTTTAGGGAAGGTTTTTACATTTGTCTGTGGATATCCAGGGCTCATGTATGAGATTACTAGCAAGCATTACTGAATAATCAGATGAGGGACAGTTTGCTATGTCTACTAGGTGGCTAAAGGGTGATCCTCAGAGCCTATGGTTTGGACGGTCAGCAACGCTTGGGCCCACAGGGTCTTGACCTCCTGATCGGGTCTGCACGGTCTGCATCAGATCAGGGAACTCAATTTTTAAAAGCAACTTTTTGAGAATCTCAAGTTAAAACTTAAATAAGGGTTTTAAGCTGTTCTTTTTTATTATTTATATTTAATGCATAAAGAAAACTTTTATTTTTTGTGTTTTTTTTTAAAACCCAGTCACTTCTCCAGAGAACTAACCATCAGAAGTTGAAAAGTTTAAAAGGTCAGGAAAAAGTTTACATACAGAAAGAAACACTTTGATGGTTACCAGGGAGGAGAAAATGAGGGAGATGCTCTGACCAGATAGCAGACAAGAGTTAATTCTGGTCAAGAAAAAGCAGTACACAGTACAAAGGAATTCACCGTAACATGATTAAGACAAAGGAAGACATTGAGGGGTCCACAAGAATAAAAGAGAATTACAAAAATTCTATACTATATACCACCTTGTGAACATCAGAACTAACAAACAATAATTTATGACTCAATACATAGGTAAATTTGTATGCTAAATAGGTGAGGGCAGTCATACAGGAGTATGCCTGCATACTTATATAAGTATGTTGTTGTTAAGCATCAAGTTGGTTCTGACTCATAAGGACCCTGTATAGAGTTTTCCAGTAGCGTGGCTGGTAGATTTGAATCGCCAACCATGTGGTTCAGACCAACCTTGTGGTCCAGTGCTTATCCTACAGCACCACACCAGGACTCTATATAAGTGTGGTGGTACATATTTTTATGTACATATTTTCAAATGCTGGATAAGTAGATAGATATGTATATACATATCTAGATATACATACATATAGATATTTATGTATATATATAGATATAGATATAGATATAGATATAGGTTGTTAAGCGCCATGGAGTTGGTTCCGACTTACAGCGACCCTGTACAGGGTTTCCAAGGGTATGAGATTAACAGCCCGATTCGTAACCACTACGCTACCAGAGCTCCTTATATCTAGATATCTAGATGTCCATATAATAGAGCACAGTCTTAGAAACTATTTAGACAGTGGAACTGAACCACTGGACCTGAAAACTAAGGTTCATAGTCGTCAGGGACATCTAGGTCAATTTGCAAATTACAGTTCATAAAAGATAATGTTTGACCTGTGTGGTGAGTAGCACCTGTGGTCTTTAAAGCTTATGAGCAGTCATCAGTAAAGTAACTCGATCTCTTGCCTGCTATAGCATAGGAGAACAAAACAACAACAACAGAAATAACTCAAGGAAGTAATTAGTCCCAAGGGCTAATAGCCCACATGAACCATTGCCTCTTCTAAACTGAGACCAAGAAAAATAGATAGCACTCAGCTACCACTACCAACATTCTGACCAAGACCACAATTAATGTCTCAGAATGGGTTTAAAAAAATGTAGAACAAAATTCAAAGCCAAGCCAAAACAAAAATATGACATACTGGTTGGAAAGAAACCAAATCTATACCCCACAGAACCTTGTAATTTGAAGACACTCCCAAAGGCCACATTCATCTATTATTTCTAGCCAAATAATTGTTGTTGTTGTTACATACCACTGAGACGGTTACAACTCATAGTGACCCTTTATAGGGTTTCCTGGGAACAACTGGTGGGTTTGTCAAATTAACCTTGCAGTGCAATGCTTATCCTACAGTGCCACACCAGGACTCTAAGTAATAGATGGAGCTATAAAATAATGTGGAGGATGTTTCTCAGAGCAATCAACTCTAGGAGACCAAAAGGACAGCATTTGCCCAAAATCAAAGATGCAGAGACTAGGCGGTCTTCTCATCTCTGATATGGGGCAAATGGATGAGTGACAATGAGCAGGGAGGAACCAGTGAGAGTGTAGATCCATCATCGGGATTGCAGCCAGTGTCACGGAACAATTTCTGGAGGAACTTTTGTTTGAGAAAATGAATTTAATATGCAAACTTTCACCTGAAGCACAATCTCATGTCTTTTTTAAAAGCCAGTATCGATGCTATGTGTTAGCAGCAGTCATTTAAAAATACTGTTAAAGAACAAAAAAAAACCTCACTGTGTCTAGAAGTAAATTTAAATCATAGCATACAAGGTGACAAACTACACCTTTAATTATAGCATTAATTCAAGGAGGATATTTTTGAAAGAATAAATCCATATGTATTGAGATTTACGAGGTAAAAAATTTAGCCCGAAATTTAAGTGTCGTATGTTACTCTGATTTTACTCTAGGAATGAACCAAGTCATTGTTTATTGCTATAGATATGCTGTGCTCCACTAAATCTGTAAAATGGTTTTTGTTTTTGCATCTGCAGCGCAAATCCAGAAAAACCCTGTGCATCATCATTTTTATTGTTGTCATTGGAATCGTGATTATCGGTCTCATCATATACGGAGTGAAAGGCTAACAATGTGAAGACACACACTGTTGCATTGCATTGCCTAAGTTACGGAGGAATATTCTTGTAATCATGGTGTTTTTTTTTTATTATTATTGTAAAACCATTAAGTAAAGAATGGTCTTCATTCTTTGTTATTTTTATTTGGTGGGGGGGAGGGATAGTTTTCTTTGGATTGAATCTGATATTTTCTAATACTGTAAGGTTTTCTAAATGTTACCTATTGGCATAACTTTTGTGCTTTTCAATAACTTAACTTTTTGCCCAGATTGTATATGCTTTTCATTTATAATTTATTTATCCTGTTGGATTAGTTTTGAGAATTAGTAGACTAAGGGTGTTTGTGCTCTGTATGCATTTTCTGCCTATGTGGATACATGCACCCAGATTTGCATCACTCAAACTAAAATCTCAAATCTAATTTCAATTTGGGTCAGCAAAGAAAATATTTTCCATAACTTAAAAATGATCATTTCTGGGTTTTGTTTTTTGTTTTTTGTTTGTGTGTGTGTGTGTTTTTCTGATTCACAACTGGAGCGCATACAAATTTTTATTCTTGGTTTTCTCTTAAGACCTTTGTTTACTCAGAATGAAATCAGTCAGTGTAAACAGACTTCTGATGTGTATATTCAGCATTTGCCATAGATTGCCTAGTAAAATACTAAAGCTAGGTTGTTTTCTTATAGGCTCATTTTAAGTCTGACATTTTCTGGGGAATGTGCAGTCACTGTAAATGTTAAGTTTAATTTGGAGAGAGAGTATGAAAAACCATTACCTGTTAGTTTGAATTTTAAAGATCTCAACTTGTTACTCTGCTAAAAATCTTAAATATAATTGGCTTTGTGGGTCATTATAGACTGTCCTTTTTGCTCTATTGAGTAATGGCTACTGTGTCCTTGGGTCAGAATTACTGTTGGGAAGTAACTTTCCTGGGATTGTTGTTTTTGAGCATGTACTGTGTAAACTTAGGTGTGGCCCTGTGGGTTAATGCGCTGCACTGCAAAGTCGTTTGAACCCTGAGATTGGCGGTTGAAGCTTACCAGCCACTCCTCAGAAACCCTATACAGGGTTGCTGTGAGTCAGATCTGACTCGACAGCACTTAACAACAACAACACGTAAAGTTCAGCAAACTTAATGCTTAACTCACACGCCATTTTCTACTATACTTCATTAGGAAAGGAATTGGATGTTTTGCCAATTAATTCATTTGCCTTTTAAAATCAATATTGTTTTAATGCACTAATCTGAATACTGTAAAGAGGATTATCTTCGTTTATAATTTGTATTTTATAACTTTCTTGTATAGTTTGATAGTGAAGACAATATTTTCCATGGAAAGGTATGAAACTTCAAATGGGAACAAATATCATGTTCAGTACCTAAGTAAATTGTGTCTTTGCAACTAAAATAAAGGTGATGTAAAAGAGGCCTGGGTAAGTCTGTTTCACGAGGACTCTGCTTTTGTGCGGCTAGTGCTCACTGCGTGCTTGACAGCTGTGTTATCTGAAATTACAGCGCAGGAGACACAACCTCAGGATGGCCATTCTGCAGTTTCCTGGAGCATTGGTTTGCTCAGTTTTGTGTGTACGGATTTTAAAGGGTTCTGTCACTAATAGGTAGAAATTGTTTGATAGACATGCCAGCAAAATTATTATTATTTTTTTTTTATGTAAAAGTAGTAAGACTGTGAAGTCTTTGATAGTGAGTACTTGAAAGTTTTGAGATTTTGTTTTACCAGAGAATTAGATTTTGTCTTTGAATAGGGTAGCTGAGGCAGTGAGAATTCATTGACTTCCTGTTTTGAGCTTGATGCCAGGCATGAGCACAGGCCTTCCGTGAACTACTTTCTCTCTAAGTCCATCTAGGAGGGCACTGCCTTGTATTAGCAACCAGCAGCTTTTAACTATATAAAAAATCTTAATGGTTTCTACATATCACTTCCATTTTTTACCAGTCGTCCTTAATAAAGTGTTAATTCACAAACTGGTGAGTACATAAACGTCCTTTCACCTCAAAGTGAGTTCCCACTCATAGCAAATGTTCTTCAGAACACACACACACACATACACATTTCTAACATGCTTTTGATGCCTGTATTAATTTTGATTGAAGATGTATTTCAGTGATTAAAAAGAAACGTAGCAATTTTAGGAAAAATTTATACAAAATATTTAGAACAGTAAAAGAGTACTCTTGGTTACAAAATATAAAATGAAAAAATGTTGTAAGGCAGGTAAATAAATTTTCTCAAAGTTTTCATTAAAGTCAGTTTTAGAATTGCTTTGGAAAGTGAAGTGTACAATATGGACATGAAATGAGAATTGTTTTGAGGGACAAGTCTGAGTCTGTTAAGAATCTGATTTGAGTTAAACTGAAAAACTTTCCTTATCTAGTGACATACTTTGTTCATCTTGATGCACTGAAAAGGCATAGTTGGTTGACACAAATCAAGATTACATCATCTCTTTACTTACGTTGAATGGCATGTTTGTGGCCATTGTAAAATATAAAAACAAAAACCGTTATTTCCAACTCATGGCAACCTCATCTGTGTTAGAGAAGAACTGTGCTGGATTTTCAGTGATTAAATTTCTAGATTACCAGGTTTTTGTTTTTTTTTTACTGAGGCTCCTTTGAGTGGATTCCAGCCGACAGCCTTCCTGGTAGCAGCTGAGCACATTAACCATTTGCCCCATCTGGAGAGAGATGCCATTTGGCTGTTGTTTCAGTCATAAATTATTATAGAAGCATTTTGATTTTGCTGAATGATTGATGGTAAAAGAATACCTAGTGTCATTTCAATTCCCCTGGAGCTTGGAACAGTCATGGGGCACTGTAGAAGGCAAGATAAAGGTAGATGGGTTCAACCAACTTGATTCTAAGCACCATCAGAGCAGCAACCAACAAAATGGGAATTCCCATCCTATTGCTCAGAGTCCTGATGTGTTGCTGTGGACCAAAAGGTTGGTGTGAACTACAAGGTCAGTGGTTAAAATTCATTAGCCACTCCTCAGAAACCCTGTACAGGGTGGCTATACGTTGGAACCCCCTCGAAGGCCCTTAACAACAATCCCATTGTTCTGCAGCTGCTTCAGTAAGGTGGTGACTATTCTGGTAACTAAGTTTACAATAAGGACAACCAGGAATTTTATCAGGATTCTTATGAGGAACGGTGGATATCAGGGAGAGCTTAAAGTGATAATGACAAGATACGATTAGCTCTAATTCTTCATTCTTCACACACACACACGGACTTAACTATTTCATCTTTAAGTGACAATTTGCTACCATTTGTCTTGGGCTGAAGAGTCACTGTTGTGCACTTAAGTTCTTTCATTTTCCCTCTTTTCATTTCCCTCAAAACAGGCTGGGCACACGTAAGTCATGATTTTGCATAACCGTTGGTTTTGAACAGTTTCACTTTGGGGATAGATTATATAGGAGTATGGAGTATGCTATAGATAAAAACACAAGCTAGTACTTTGTCTTAGTAGTTTTAAGAAATGAAAGCAAACACATTTAACCTTTAATAGATTGAAAATAACCTGTGATTTGTATATTTTGTATTCCTAGAAGTAGGCTCATTGTGTTTTTAAACTGTTATTCCTATCTTTTTGAAATCAGCCCTTCAAAATTTGGTTGACTTAAATGTCAAAGTCATGACATTTTGCTCTTTGAAATGATGTGCTTCCAATTTCTTGTTCATGTAAGATCTCAACAAAAATAAAAAATCTGTTTAAAGCATAGTTTCCAAGTATGGGCATGGACAGAAGTGGAGTTTGCTCTAGGTCAGTAAACCATGGATACAGCAGCACCTGGGGCCAGGCCTGCGGAGCCCTTGTGTGTCTGTGTCATTGACTGAGGTGACGTCACTGCCTAAAATAAAATGTATGCAAAAACTACACTTTGAATCCTAACCTTTTAAGACAAATTTATAATGAAAAAGAAGTGACTTTGAAGATTTCTTGTTCCACTAATTTGGTTGGTGATTTACCAAAGAAAGAGCAAAACAGTTTTGTACTTGGTGTGATTTTGTTTGCATATAAGAAATAATATAATAAAACAGAAAACCTGCATAAAAACTGTCCACTTTAGTAGTAAAGAGTGAGTCACAAGGTTACCTTGTTCTGCATATATTTGTTTATTTTTCTGCATATATTTTTGAAAGGCAAAATTTAATATATTTCTTCTAAATTGCCAGGTTACTGCTATACAATGAAATTTCAGAATGGGGTGGAGAGTTTACTAGAGGATGTTGTGAGTTGAATGACAGAGGCACTGGTGATGTAATGGTTAATCTCTTGGCTGCTATGTAAAAGTCTTGACAGTTCAAACCCACACAGTGACTCCACAGGAGAAAGACCTGAAGATCTTTTCCGGTAAAGATTCATCGTCGTTAAGTGCAATGTAGGTTCTAACTCATAGTGACCCTGTCTAGGGTTTCTGAGGAGCAGCTGGTGGGTTTGAGCGACTAACCTTGTGGTCCAGTGCATTATCCTGCCTAGAAAACCCTTTGAGGCAATTCTACTCTGTCATATGGGATCACTGTAAATCAAAAGCGACCCAAAGACACCTAAAAAGTTGGAAGACATTTTCAGTTCATTTACATATTATTAAAATCACCTAACTAGTGGTGAATAAATGGAGTCCTGGTGTGGCTCTACAGAATAAGCACTGCACTACTAACCACAAAGTTAGTGGTTCAAACCCTGCAGCTGCTTTTTTTTCCAAAACCCTATACAGGGTTCCTATGAGTTGGAACCAACTCAGTGGTATTTAATAACAACAAGTGGTGAATAACGAACTTCATCCTGGGGGTGGGGGAATAGTAAGCATTTTCATGATTCAGCTTAACAAACAAAACTGACCTCTTCAATCCACCTTGCGATTTGAGCAACTTGACATCTCAGTAAGGAAATACACTTATCAAACTTTTCCAGTAGGGCGAATGTGCTGAACTGTCCCATTTCTTTGAAAAGTCCCTGTCTCTTCCTGATAACTACCATGACTGACTTCCTAAGATATTAAATCATTTCCTGTCTGCATATAGGAATTTGTACCCTCAAAACATGATGACATAGCAGACAGCAAAGTAATTGTGTGGATGCTAATAAACACGCAAGGTCATCTTCATCTCAGCTGGGCTTTCCTAAGTTAGACTCAGTGAAGCAGTCTCCATCAGCTTACAAGACGAGAGAC